ACCAAATCGCAATAGACTTCATAAGAGGATGCAACTTTCCATTTCACAGGTATGGCCGTGTTGGTAATCGTCTTGCCTGAGACGCCTAATAACGATCCCAATGCATCGTCTTTTCCTAGGATTACTGAGTAATCGTTAGGCAAGGCATGCGCGATAGTAATTTCGTGCGGCAAYCCCGTGGTAAGAGCATAGCCGTACTTTGCTAATTCCTTGGCCAGGGTTATTGGAGTGCAATGTCCATTGCGCAGCATTACGCCTTGATAATTGTTAGACCCCTTATGCTCAGTGACCATGCCATTGACCAAGTTATACCAAGAATTGTACAAAGAGCAACTTATGAGCCGAACCTTATGGGCCTTGATGGGGGGATTCAAATAAGTGGTAAAGTCATTCTCGTCGCTTTTCAAAAAGACGATCATTATATAGAAGGCACTTACAGTGCCCACGCCAAAGCTGCACCTCCAGCCAGCCCTGCGATACCAACGAAGACCAGCTCGCTATCTTTTTGTCTTTTCGATGGCTGGTAGTAATTCTTAAACTGAGGTTTGCTAATTKTGAAGTCGGGATGCGCCTGCGCTTAAAGTTTAAAAGCATAGTCTGTATTTTCGAAGTTCTTGTCGGCCTGCATCTTGTCCGCGTAGTTCCTGTCCAACCAATCYCTGTAAGCTTGTCTTTTTTCATTCCAAGCAGCCACATCCCTTTGATACTTTTCCAGCGCCAAATCATGCCTTTTCCTCTCAGCAGCGCCACTATGATGGCCTCTGACTAATCTATCTAAATACTGACCACCATAATTAGCTCCAGTAAATGCTAAAGCTGCAATAACTCCGCCTGCAAGCAAGCTAACCATTTATATCTTAGAGGGGATGTACTTTTCCTTTTGCAGATAATCCTTTAGCATGATAGCCCCGCCTACGGCAGCGGTCATCTTAGCAAAATTAGTAAAGCTCTTGCTTGGGTCTTCAGTAAAGTCTTCCTTAAGTGCCTTCTTACCTACCCAATCAATACCTGCGACATCATCTTACCTACCCAACCAATGCCTGCGACAATAGAAGTAATGATAGCTGCCTCTTAAACAGTTTTCAATAACGCGGTTGACATTATATTACAAAGCGAGAAGGTTATTCCATTACGGGTGTTCTGCTTCTCTTAGGGGGCTCCTGTGTCACGTGCACGGCTTTTAATTCCACTTTTGGCTTTGCGGCGGCCTTCCATTGAAAGTAGAGACTGCCTGCGGCCAAAACGACTCCTAATGCGCCAATTACGTAGCCCGGGTTGATAAAGGATTCCTCTTCTTTTTCCTCTTTCTTGGCTTTGTTCTTCCTATTCATCTCTGCGAGCTTCTTCCCCGCAGCTACCCTGCCCGGGGACTTGGCTTTGGTGATCTTCTKCTCCTCTTCTCGAGGCTGTTCCGCTGCGCTTGGTTCGGGTTCACTCATTTATATTAAGGACTTGAAGGACTTGATAAGTAACTTAGGAACGACCTGGGAATGACTTGACAGGTACTTAAGGATGACTTGGGTATGACTTGGCTAAGTACTTGAGGCGACTTGGTCAGGTGACTTGTCGTCGACCTCCGCAAGTGCTACAGTTAGTACCCTTTCGACTTCTCTGTCCTTCTTAAAGTCCTTCCAAGACGTCGTAAGTTCTTTCAAATCAATATGCTGGGCTACGTGAGGTGCCGCAGAAGCGACTGCCATTAACTTACCACACTTCAAAGACAACCACCCACAGGTCATCTTAAGTTCTTGTCCTTCTGTAGTTGCTCCACGTCGTCTATGGGCAGTGCAAGTCTGAGAAGCCTGGCTGCCAGCTTAATAGCGGAGTCTACTACGGCATCGGTAGTCTTACTCGCAAGGGCAGCCTCATACCTCTTATGGAACTTCTTAACTTCCTCTTCTAACAACTTATTGACTTGCTCATGGGTAAGTTCCTTGCCTATCATTTCTTTGCACTTCCCAGAAGACACAAGGATGTTAAGTTGTTCCTTAAGGTTACTTTCGTCTATTTGCATAGGGACTTCATCTATGAGCTGCTCAATCTCCATATATTCTAGCTTGATAAGGAAACCTCAAAGAGAATATCATCTTGGAATGTTGGTGCGTTTTTAGATGCCGCATGTATTCGTGCAATTTTTCCTTGCTTATCTCGCCGCCATAGTCGCTTAAGATGGTTTCCAGGTCCCTTTTACTGGGCGTGTAGAAGACGACCAGGGAGCCTATGTTTTCCCTAAAAGGCTTAGAGACACTGGTAAGATGCTGCGAGAGCAACCAAACGCTAATATTGTCATGTCTGCCGCTGAAAGCAAGCTTTACTAACTCGGAAGTGCGTCTTTTTACGTCATCCCCACAGGCAATGTCATCCAGTATGAGGAGGGTTTGCGTATCCTTAGGGAATTGCCTATGCCAAAACTTAAGATGTCCAGATAACTCATTGGGGTCTAAGATGTTTACAAAGAAGTCGTCGTCATGGATGCCTATGCCTTCCCATGTCTTATTGTTCACGTAGGTAGGACAAAGAAGGACTACGTAATCAAATCGGTATCTAAAGGGTCCTAATAGCTGCTCCACCACAAACTGGGTCTTTCCGCAGCCGGTAGGTCCTACTATAAGAGCATTACAAGGAATATGGTTCGGATCCATAATATATAATGGAGCCCGTGGAAGCAGTCAAAGAGATGGTTAATATTGTCAAAAGGAAGTCAGACCTGGAAAGGACGGTAGAGATGCAAAGGGAGGAGATAGACCGGCTGAACAGGCGCGTGAAGGAATTGTATGAGATGTGCGGCTTGAAGCGCGCAGAGCGGTTCGGCGCTTTGATAACTATGGCAACGTGGGCTAAGGAGTCCGTAGTGGACTTTACGAAATATCCTCTGTAGAATGTTAGGCATTGGTTGTTGTTTTCGTTAGGCGGGTGGTAAGATATGACAAAGGTCGTTAAATGGAGGATAAGATATTGTTAAGTATATATGGAGTGCCCAAATTGTAATAAGACGTTTAGTAGTAAGCAGAGGCTGCAATACCACGTTAGTCGTGGCGTTTGCACAAAGGAGAAGAAAAGTACCATTTGCGAGGACTGCGATAAGGAGCTCAGCACTCTTCAAAAGCTGCTGTACCATGTCAAGAAAGGCGTTTGCCATAAGGAAATTACCACGGAGTGCAATGACTGCGGCAAGGTCCTTAGTACTCACCAACGTCTCCAAACACATAAGAAGATACACGAAAGACTTTACCAAAGAATTACGAAGAGTTATGACTTGGAAGGGGTAGATTGCTACAAATGCGAGGATATCATGAGCCGCTGTGAACACAAGGATAAAAACATAGAGAATCGCATCCGTTATCGAAGGAAGATCCATAAGACCTTCCCATTCTTTGACGTTGCCGAAGGTGTTCCTTGGGGAAATACGGAATATTGGAGGCAGGAATGTGATAAGTGCGGATGCATAAGGGAAGAGGAGCATATCCCCAACTGTCTTGGGATTGGTATGCTAAACGTTAATCACAGTTCTGAGACCCAATGTTAAATGTTGTTGTTTGGTTAGGATGACGCAAAGCGTCTTAAGAATGGCATGTTGTTTGTTGTTATTTGGTTGGGATGATGTTAAGGAAGCAAAGCGTCTTAAAAGGGTCTGTTGTTCGTTGTCGCTCAAAGAAGAAATACTTTACTTCTTATGTTTCCTAGGAATATTACCAATTCTTAAGACGCTTTCTAACCCCTAACAATTAACCCAACCAAGTAACAACAAACAACATGCCATTCTTGAGACGCTTCGTGGCCATTAACATCATCCCAACCAAGTAACAACAAACAACATGCCTCCTTTAAATAGTTTCCAGCGGGCCCTAAATATTTGATTGCTTACGTAGTAGCGTCCTTTGGGTATTAGTATATATGGACTGCATCACGTGCGAACTACCAGCAGAATGCCTTTCGACACCTACCCCCAAGCCGCGCAAAAAAGTTACCTTTSAACGAAAAAAATACGACTGCCTCCATTGCGACAGTATTTTCCACTGGTGGCAGTATTGACCACTGATGCCCGGCCGACCCAAAGGCTCGTAGGACCTTGGCCGACGCCTCTAACCATGTAGAGGAGACTCCGGCTCGTACTTAACTACATCAAATGCCCACTTACCATCCTTTTTGCCATGACTCATAATATGGGTAACCTCCTGCCCCTCGATGGCGTATCGTATCCTATCAGGTGCCCATAGGGTGTATGTTTTTTGTGTGGCCTTTTAGGACCAACCTCAGACGGTCAATGTCTTCGAAGACGACGTAATTCTTTATCTCGTAGATTTCCCCTACCGTCAGCTCCCTCCAATGTGTTTGTACCAGCTTCAGTGCGTTGAACTTGTCTTTATTCATATATCTTATGAATTTTTTTATGGTGTGTGTCCAAAGTGTCCATGCTTTTGAACYTCTTGCAGCAGTAGCGGCAAGACAGCCTAAGGCCGCGGGAATATTCCATGATGCTTCTGCAAATCTTGTCGTAATCGTTGCTAATCATTACTTTGAACCCATTTTTTTCTTAATTGCGTAAGACCTTCCTTTGCTCCTCGGTCAGTATCCAATTCCCTTTGGGCGTCTTTAACTCTAAGCAGAAGCCATTGTATTCCTTGTGRGCATTAAGGATCGCCAGATCCGGTTGCCCTTTTTGGCATCCCTTCTGCGAGCACTTAATTCTCTTACCGTCGGTGTCTTGCAGTTCTCCGAGGCCGGCAATTACCAGTAGGTTGGGGTAGTATTTTCTGATGTAATCTACTACTTTCTTATGTAGGTCAAATTCGTTTTCTATCTTGAATACTAATTTGTTAGGGCCGTCGAATCGCTTTYCTACCATGTATTTGCCTGTTTTGCGTAGTGCCGGTAAGACTTCTTCGAATACCCAATCGCGAAATTCCTTTGCTTTGGGTAACTTAGAACTAAAGATRAGTTCGTAGAGACCAGGTTCCGAAATATACACAGAATGTGGGTGGATAGTAGAAGGGCGGTGATTTGGAGCCCCTTGCAGATCGACCCATCTTTTCTGGTATTTCTCAGATACGTGGGCTCTAATTGCATCCTTTGAACGTTCGTATTCCAACGCCAAGGCTACCTCCTTTGCTTTGAAGTACAGGTTTTCGCCTTGCACTATGCATTGCAGTGTYGTGTCGTCTTTGCAGAAGTTGCGTAACATGGTATATTTGGGGGATATTTTATCTTTTTTCAATAAGCAACGCTCTTTAGCTGATTCATTTCTACGCTTAGCTGCGCGTCGCTAACCACGAAGACGTAGCAGTTTATCTTCTCGCCGTCGCCCGCGGAGGAATTCTTTGTGCGCTTGATCTCCAACGTAATGCCATCCTGGGTGTTGACCAACCGCAGCCCTTGGCCATGCATACTCTCGTCGTTGGTAGTACGCATGTCGATCCACAGCGCGTACTTGTCCGTGAAGAATTCCCGGGGACTAATTTTGTCACCAAACTTTCTCATTGCCTCCCTGTAGATGTCTGCGGGCTTTATTCCCTGGGAGTAGACCTTGTTAGGTACTCCGTTGATATTTACCCCCACATTGGTGMTGCCGGGGTTATGGAAGGCTTCGCTGTTGCGCTTGCCGGCCTCGTAGGGCTTAGCAAACACCAGCATTAGCCCGGTCAAGCTGCGCCTGGGGAGGTTAATGCTTTGGTTGATAACCTCGTCCGTCTTATCCAGGAAGCTAAATGTCTTGTACATTACTACGTGGTCGTACAGGAATGCCTTTCGGGCGCTATACTCAGCACCCGCACTGCGGGCCAACTCCTCGCTGTGCACCGTTTCGTACTGCAGCTCTAAGTTGGTGATAGAATAGGGATCCACGGCCCCGCTAATCGCGGTGGACATCTCCCCAAGGATGTTAGTCGTATCGGCCAGGGTTACTTCGAACTGTAGTTCGCTTAGTTGCTTGCGGTAGTACACGCCGTGGTTCGTAATCACTTCAAAGTCCAGCGGGATGACATACTTGGTACCATAGGCCGTCTTTATTCGCTTTGCATCTGCTACTGCCGTCTCTCCGCCGGAGTCCGTGGACCGCGTCTTAACGGGCGTGCGGACTATACGCAGGATGAGGCTGCCAATCCCTTGTTCTATCCTTTGCGCGCGGTCAAACGCAGTCAACCATAGGTCCTTGTACGTGGTGTACGAATCGTATCTGTTCAAATCTAAGAGGGATTCCCCGGCGAATTTGACCCTCATCTTAGAGACTAAGTTGCGGCCTATGTTATTAACGCAACACCTTTCATCCGTGGTACTGGGCTGCACCGTTAGGTCAAACCTTAGCGCTAACGTACCAGGGACTAATACTAGGTTATCCGTTAGGCGGGGTACGCCCACGTACGAGGTTTCTCCTGGCTTTGCGCTGGATGGCGAGAATGTGACCCGGTGAAAGGTGCGTTCTGCCTTTAGGCCGCCAACCTGCTTAGGTAATACGTTGGGGTTTAACTTTGAGCTTATCATATATAATSGAAGTAGAAGGAACGGATTTTGACCCCACCACCGAGGAAGGTCGACTAAGCATTAACAACGACGATYTCAAATATCTGTTGTCTGACATGGACGGACTAACCCTCTTTGAAAAGGCATCGAGGAGATTCGGCAAGACCAAGGCCGTCGTCATAAACAAGTTTAGATCTGAACATCCATACGAACCCATCCCGGAGTACCTGCAAATGGATGAACTCGGGGAGGTTCCAATGGTCCCTAGCGCCCAATGGATGGAGGCAGTTACCATGCGAATGGACGAATCCTTGCATGATGACGAACCACTTGAGGTCGATAGGCTAGCGGAACTATTGCCAGATTGGGATCACACGAAGGCACAACTGGAATTCGACGACAGTAACCAATGGGGCAAGAAGATAATCATAGGCAGACTTGCGAGGGACGGCTCTAAGCCTTACGTAATCAGAGACGAAARGGGAAGATTCCTTGCCGACCCCAAGATTCCTAAGACCTTAAGGCAAGCCATTGGGAAACCCAATTTAGCAATACAGGAGCAAATGTCCAAAGAGCAATTAAACGTCGGCAAGCAAAGGCTGTTCGCCACCTTTGCGCGACTTCCACCCGAAGCAGGCGGAAAGACAGAAGACCGGAAAGTCATGGAACTTCAGCAGGCAAAAGGAACGATCGAAGACCTATCTGCGCAAATAGAAAGACAGAACGAGGAAATTTCTGCCCTGGAAGAGGAAAAGCTCGCAGCCATGACCTCCATCCAAAGGGAAAAAGACGCAGAAGTACGAAGGCTCGTGGACAAGATTAAGGACCTGCAGAATGCCCCCAGGGAGGAAAGGGACCGACTAACCAACGAACTGCAAACTGTAAAGAGGGAAAGGGACACGGCAAACGAGGAAAAAGAGGCAATCGAAAGAGAACGCGACGACGTCATAGCAGAACAAAGTAGGACATTGCAGGCCCTTGGGGAGGCCTTAGAGGAAGCAAAGGGGTTGAATGACGAACTTACGAATTCCGCCAGCGGCCTCATGGAAGCCGAACAGCATAATGTGCAACTGCGAAATCAAATTGCCCTTAAAGACGAACAAGTCAGACAATTGAAAGGCGCAATCGAAGACTTAGAACGACACGCCAACGCGCAACAGGAAATAATAGCCGACCAGACGCGCCCCGAAGAAGAGCGAGCAGCCGCAGAAAGGGAATTGGAGGCCACCCAGGAAAGGCTCGAAACGATAAGGGCGGAACTTGCCACCGCGGAGCGGGAACGGGGACTTACTACTAAGGAGAAAATAAGGAGAGCACTCACGAAATATGGSGTTCCCCTTGCATTCGCGGTTGCTATTTCAAGCGTAGTAGGAGTTATCCTATCCGCGCTTAGGGCTGCGGGCGCAGGCGTAAAAAAACCGGGTTCTGGTTTGACGAACTTAGGGAAGAAAATGGCAGCCGGCATTCACGGGCTGTTGGGTTCTGTCGTTTCCTTGGCACTTAGGGCCGGCGGGGAACTGTTGAAGGTCGTGGGCAACAACATTTGGATATTGGTTGTCGCTATTGGGGCGGTGTTCTTGAAGAAGATGAAGGGTTAATCTTGTCCTTGTGTATTACTGGGGGCTTATCGGACTCGCCGGACCTCTTAGACGTTCTTGGCTTGGGATAAGTAAAGATAGTGTTTGCCCCAGGCTGATAATTTGGAACTAGCGGCAGCACGCTCATGGTGCTAATAGGTTTATGGCTCCAAACAGCATCCGCCAGAGGACCGGCCGCCGAAAAGGCGGCATTTATCCCAACAAAGCCGTAATACGTATTGGAACCCGAGGTGTAACCATCACTGGGACGAATCTGGAGCTTCGCATATTGGCAATTGGCTATCATGTGAAAAGTTACCGGCGTTAGGTTTTCCGCGCTTGCTGGATAGGGTTCCGACGTAAAATGGACGGGGTTCCTAGTATTATCTTTCGTTCTGTAAGGCATTAATGGATGGTCATTCTCATCAACGATCCTAAACCCGACATTACAATTATTCCACGTGTTAATGCTAATGGTGCACATAACTAATCC